TCGGGACGGGCACAACGCGGCGCCCGAGCCTCGCCAGCTGCGCGCAGCTGGATTCGGGGGGGGGCAGCTGGATGCAGGGGCTCTCTCGGGGCGCAGCGCTGAGGTGACGGGAAGCCGCGAGAGGCCCCAGTGCAAGGGGGCGGGGAGAGGTTGACTTACACCGGCGTTGGCAGGTCTGAAATACCGAAATCATCGTGCTGGAAGCTCCAAACGCTCGTGTTTTCGGCAAAACTATCGTCCTCGGAGGAAATATGTAAACCAGCATGCAAATCAGTCCTCTTGTTTCCTTTATATGGCTCGTCGAGGGAGTACCGGGTGCTCCAAGTTGAAGCATTTCCGTATTTTGAGGCAAGTAGTCAGAAGGAAGTGCTGACAGCCAGCCCGAAAGGCAGTTACTTACCTGGCGGGGGAAACGCCGTGTATCTGGGTGGTGAAGGCAGTTTTCTTTAAGCCCTCCCCGGGATAACTCTTCTTCTGCTGTGGTTTAATACCCGCCCAGGTGTTGGAGCTTAAAGCCCACCTTATGGAAATAGGAGGCTCCATGGGCCACTGGTGCCACCTGAGTCGTGGGGGGTCACATGCCCCCACAGTGGCCAGTCGGCAACCAGGGGGTTCCCCGGCAACCAATCTCACCAACTGGAGGGGGGTCAGTAGTGCTCCTGAAAGCGCCAGCAGTGCTTCATCCGGTGCCCCCACTTTGCAGTTAGCAGTCAAAAAGGGGGGGTACTGGCGCTCTTGCCTGCCCCCCTGCCCGTTGCCTAAGCAGGGAGCACGGCCTGACAGGATGCACGTCACCCCCGTGCACCCCGTATGCATCGCCACTGAGAGGCTCCTCCCTAGCTTGCTCCTGCAGCTATGTGGTTGAGGGCAGGCAACACTTGGGTGCATCCAAATCCCAAGCCTCCGGGCTTGAACCTACATGTAGGGTGCCTGCCAAAAGACTTTGGAAATATCTGAAGCCCCAGGTGGGATTGGAGGATGTTTGCCGGTTGTAGGGTCACTTCTGGTTCTGGACTGGCTCATGGATTTGGACTTATTTTTCGTGTTCCAAGCCAAATCTTATTTAAAAAAAAAAAAAAGCCCAAAAAGCAGTTAAGATTCCCAGAGAGTGATTTCGTTTTGCATAAATGCTGCATCAATTTGCTGCCTCAAAAATGATTGCAAAAATGTAGAACTCTTGGTTCCAAAATGATACCTTTTATTAAACCAACTGAGAAATTGCAAATATATATATATATATATCTTTTTCTGCAAGCTTTTGGGCAGAATTTTTTTTAATTTCTCAGTTGGTCTAATAAAAGGTATCATTTTGGAACCAAGAGTTCTAGATTTTTGCATTTTTTTTGTCTCAGACCAACATGGCTACCATATACATCCCTCAGAAATTACTGTACATTTTATTTCCTTGGAGATCTCCGAACAACAGCAGAGACTCCCTATGCCTGAAGAAAGGTACTATTTCTGCCCGAACTTTGCGCAGAACTTTGTTCCAACTACTCAGTTGGTCTAATAAAAGATATGATATCTATCCAAAGACCCTTGTCTGTCTATGTCCTTAGACCAACACAGCTACAACCAAAAACCCTTGTACATTTTGAACATTTTTACTAGTATTGATCATATGTGGTACAAGGGTTGAAATTATTGTACAGGACGATAATTATCGTACACCTGGCAACGCTGAGTTAGATGAGCTTTGGAAGGCAAAGGGCTCTTCCCTGGGGCTCTTCCTGGGCCTCTGCCACAGGATCAACCAGGGATTGGTGTCTGAGGCAGCTGTGAAGGCAATGAATGGCCGCACCCAACAAGGAATAAACCACAAAGGTCTTCCCCAACAGATGTGGCTGTTGTCTAGCATGCCTGTGTGGCCACATGTGTCTCTGTGCCATGGAGCACCCTCCTCCCCCCAGGTGCCGGGGCACATGGTGTGCTCTCACAGCTGAGAGAGCCCTGTCAGTTGATCCAGGGTGCCCCCCACCTATGACTGAGAGCCCCATCAGCTGATCTGGTGTACCCCCCGCAAGAGCTTGCTACTTGCCAGTGCAGGGGAAGCCCAGAATCATCAGGCTTGTCTGGCATGGCAGGAAGTGCAGTTGAGTGGATGGCACACCAGATCCCATCCCACCTTTACCTGCACATGCGGCAGAGTCGCTAGTGTTAGAGTGATATTGCAACCACAATGGGCCAGGAATGATGTGAGAGGGCAGCATTTCTGTGGGTGGAATCTTTTATTGGACCAACTGCATGGTTGGGATAGAGTTACACAAGCTTTCAAAAGTAACTCACTCTATCCCTTGGTTCTTCCTCAGGGCTTCAGGAAAGTTTGCAAGACAGGCTAAGGCAAAGAAGTGCATGCAGGGAAGCAAATGGACCACTGCAGATTGGAAATAGCAGGGTGGGGAACCCTGAAACTCAAGCTTCGTCAGAGCTTTCAGGGAGATCCCCTCTCCTCACTAGAGAATGAATCCTCAGATGTGTGAGGCAGTCCCGTGAGCAAAAGACTCCAGGCCACTCATCACAAGGGCCAGTCCCTTTTCAGCAGTGCATTTCATTGGGTGTGTACTCATATGCCTGGATAGCATCTGCTGAAGTGAACTGTTGCTCACATAAGCTTATGTATCTATGATTCAGTTCCTCTACAAGACAAGAAGACACCTGCCCCAGGCTCCAGGTTAGGAGAAATGGCAGAACCACTCTCCTCCCTACCCACTGCTGCAGAATCCACACCCAGGCAGCATACCCATGCCATGGTGCCACACAACATTAGCATGTTAGCAAACATGATTCACAAGATAAACCCAGAGATTTCAAATAGGAATCCATAGCATTAAATACATTCAGACCTGTTGTGGGTTTTCTGAGTTCTTTACAACAGAAAACATTGCTCTTATTTTTCTGTAGTCAATAAGTGAAAAGTAAGACCTGGCATTTCCAAAGGGTGCCTTGAACTAAGCAAGGAGTCTAAGAAGGTGGAGAACTACTGGTTTAAGAGTTCTCAGCATGGGGTAGGGATGCTACACATCCCCAGCCCCACCACTCTCTCAGAATTGTGCAATTCTCTCCCTCCACCCATCACATGGTCTGCCCAGGTGCCAACTCTGCTAATTATACCACTGCTTCAGACTAATGTAGCTGTCTTTTTCTGTGTAGGTTGTGACATGATGGGCGCATTTACATGAGACGTTTACTGCAGAGCTGACTAATTAGCTTTGCCATAAAACGTCACCATCTACACATGCCACTCTATTAGGTTGCAGTGGACTAATAAATGTCACTGCAAGGTAGTCCAGCTAAATGCAAGTACTACCCTACTATGGCAGTGGTGTTTCGTGTGCCACAGCAGAAGTGTAGACAGTGACAGGGATGGCTGGGGCATGAGGGTGCTTCAGCAGGGGCTACCCAGCAGGTAGCCCCCGCACTAAAGCATCCTCATGCCCCAGCCAGCCCCTCTGCCACATGTGGAGCCTAGTTGGAGCAGCTTGGGCTGGCACGGGACCTGGGGGTAAGCTTGTCAGTCCGGGACTGCTCCTACCAGGCTCCACATGCTGAGGAGCAGCTGGCTGGGGCACAAGCAGCCCCTATGGTAAAGTACTCTCATGCCTCAACCAGCTGAGAACACCACTCACATAGATATTTACAGCATGGACCATTTTGATTTTCGTTAACTACTGTATGAAAAGATCCTTCCACACTTGGTATGTGTTTTGCAGTTTTGCTTGTGGTAAATATGTTTCATTGCAAATTAAGAGATCACTGTGGAGGGAAAGAAGAGTTGCAAAATTATCTCACTATCCTAGAAAACAAGGACCTATACTTCTAGAACATAAAAATATATCTAATCCTCTCAATGATTTCTGATTTATTTAATTTTGTAGAATTAAATCCTAATTCTAATTCACTATTCAGTAGGCTCCAAGCCTGGGTGCAATTCATTGTTTATATTGGGCAGCACATCAGTGCTAGGGATGTGTGTCAATGGAAATACGACAGATAAAAGAAAAGATCATACACAAGACCTAAAATCACCTCCCCTCTCAGTCACTGAGTTTTGTCTCTTTAGATTCAAAGGACAGGCCTCTATCACTTCAGCTAACTAGGAGCAGTGAAAGAATGCTATCTCCTGCATGGGCCTGCCACTAGAGGACAATAGAGACACGCTTCACTCCTGGGTGTCATCCTACTTGCTAGAGACAGAAAAGGAACTTTGATATTCAGAAATGCAGAGGGATAGTCCCTGGTTTGTAAGGGATTCTCCTCTTGTGTTTACAAACCTTTCTCTCCCGACCCTGCATCTATCCTCCTTAGCCCTTCTCTGTCTCCCGTCCCTTCAATCTGCTATACCACAGCCTTTCTGTCTTAATATCTGCTCCAGCCCTTCCCCTCTCAGACCTTCAGTCCTGTCATCCCCATTCATGGCTCCTGCCCTATTCACTCCCGCTGTATGCATGCCCCTCCTCTTTCATCTTGTTCCTATCCCTCTATCTGTTTTCCCCACTCTCCTATAGTCTCCAACTTCTGACCCTAAGTCCCACTCATCTTCAGACTACAAACTGCCGTCTTCAAACTCTTGCTCCCACCCACTTTGTGCATCCCTTCTTCCTCCTCTCCTTTTTTCATTTCTTAATCTTCTGCCTTCTAGCCATTTCCCCCTCCTCCTCCTTGCTGCTTTGGGCACAGTCTGCTGAGCACTGAGAACACAGGCATCTGTCCCCCTGCTCTCAGTTCCTGTGCTTGGTACCCGGAGAGGAAAAATTGCTGAAGATATCCCAGTCAGTCCCTGTAACTCCAATGGCACACACTGTCCAGTCATGAACATTTAAAAACTGGAACATCATCAGGGCAGAAACAATCCTCAGAGAAGTTCTCTGCCAAACTCTACTTAGCATGTGCAAATTGAGATTTTCATGGAGACAGCAAAAAGGCTTTTGACACTAACATGATCATCGTGCCAAATTTAAGTCCAGATTGCTAAGTATGGAGGTGCTAGAGTTTCTCAATACAATGTCTGTAAGAACTTTTTTAATGTGGGCATGACAATTATTTTTCCCTAGCCCTTTTCTCAGAAGTACCTGAATGATTTTAGCCAATATTTACCAAATACTCAGCCTGAGGTTAACACTGAGCATGGAAAATTTTAGTCCAAGCAGTTTAAGATTGGCAAAAATGATAAGCACTTGAAAATAAGGACTTATAATTGAAAATGGTAGGCAACCTTAATTGTAGGCATTGCTGCTTATAACGTTCCTTCAGCAGTTTTTTGTATTGCTGTTATTATTATTTCAATTGGCACCACATATAATGATACCTGTTGAGAGAAAACTGCAATTGTAAAAAATCTCCCCAGGGAACAATTCTTTGCCTGGACTTTTTGGTGGCAGCATTCACTTACGCAATACAAACTACAACATTTTGAATATTGCATACATCCATTTTAGACTATTATTACACTTTCAGCTACCACAGTTGGCAATTATTTCAAGAGCAAAAAATGATAGCCCATTATTGAGCATGAAACTGAGCCAGCCAAGAACCTTTAGGGTATTTCAGGTTCTCAAAACATGTCAGCAGAATAAAAATGAACAGACTACATTGCAAAGTGTGTACACTTCTCCTTACAACACAGTACTGCACAGTCTGGATAATGGATAAGGAACATATTGCGATGATAGAAGAGGGTATTAGTAGTATACCTTCTTTTACTGAACATATTTTACTTAACAAGCCAAAATAATCAGTTATCACTATTCCTTTTCTTCCTCTGTTCCCCCCCTCCCCCCCATAATGAAAATGTAAATGCATAGACTCTGGACAATTCTTTTTGCAAACATAGTAGACTATCCAAACACCATTTATCTGAACTCTTTAGTTATCTAGACTGGACACAGGACATGCCACTAACCTGCATGTTGTATGGTACAAGTGACAGCAATAGTGACTAAAGGAAAAAAACGTGTTTTAACAATTGAGAAAAACATTTGAAATAACCAACAAAGTGAAAGCAGGTGAATCTGTTACCAAATTGGTTTTACAGTGCAGTATTGGAATATATTCCTTTGGTACATGTGATCAAATTGTTAATTATTGAAACATGATTTTACAAATAGCATTGAGTTCCAGTTAAAACAGGTGACTGATGCTCCACTGCATTTTGAAGGTTCCAAGAAATATGAGTTCCTGGTTTAATATGTGCATTTTGCACTTATCAA